TAAACTTAAAAAGTGAACCAATAAGTATGATGACCTTATTCAAACATTATTATTTGTGTTAGTAATTGGCTTGACACAAACAATTATAACTGACGCAATTGACTTATCTCTTATCTTAAAACGCATCTGCCTTTCAGTTTTCATGGGCCTTTCATATATCTCCTGCTTCCTTTCTCTTTCACGAAATGGATTAGGCCGTTGCCGGTCTACCCCTTCACACAATATCAACCAAAATCAAAAATAGTTAAAGGAAGGCTCCCCTCTCACGGTGCTACAGTAAATCCCATTTTCCCAGTTTTGCCCTCCAATGTTTCGTTCTTACTATCTTCTGTTAGTAATGACTTTTTGGTCATTTTGCTGCCAAAATACCTTGTCCATTGTTCACAGAGACTGTTTTCTCTATTTTGCCCTCTGTCTTTGTGTCTCCTTTTCCCTCTTGGAACACGGCTTTTGGGTCTTTTTGATCTTTTTTGACATTGGTCTGCGTTTGATTCAGTGTTCTAAAAGGCAAAAGCCTATTGAGCCCCTCACCTTATCAAGTCTGAAGATTTTAACCCATCACCTTATATTATAACATTTTTAACCCCTCACCTTACTAGATTTATAGGTTTTAACCCTTCATTTTATACTATGATATTTTTAACCTCTCATCTATTAAAATTAAAAAAAAAAATAGCCCTCACTTTATAATATTTTATTAGTTCTGTTAGCTGACTGCTAACTCTATTAATTGATTGTTAGTTGACTGTTAGCTTACAAAAATCTTCTTTCAACTAACAGAGTTAACAGAACTAACTTTATAATATTTCGTTAATTCTGTTAACTGACTATTAATTGACTGTTAGTTGATGAAAATTTACTTGCAGCTAACAAAGTTAACAATTGGTATAAAATGAAGACTATTTTCTTTGATTTTAATAAGTGAGGGGTTAAAACTTACAAATCTAGTAAGATGAGAGGTTAAAAGTGTCATAATAATATAAGATGAGGGCTAAAACCTTCAAAGTTGGTAAGGTGAGGGGCTCAAAGTAGGTTTTTGCCGTTCTAAAATTGGTCTTCAATCGTCGATCATGAAAAGGGAAAATCGCGTTCCCGGATGCGGTGGATTCTGAGATTTGAGTAGCTAAATGGCAATCCTCCCTGTGGTTTTGCATTCAGTCATCATTGTGAAACCTCAAGGAGTGTTGCTTTTCTTTTGGTGCTTATTGCTTGGTACGTTTCCGTGCTTGGAGTGGATCCTAATGTCTACTAGGTACATATTTTTTGCTTTTTATTTTGAATTCTTTCTCTTGTGCAGGTTTTGGGTTTCAAGAATTACGTTTATTATGAGAGGTAAACAATGGTTTTTAGGATTTGAAAGATGGGTTTTTTAGATCGACCAACTTCGACTGTGTTGGCTCTTCAAGTAGTTTCTCTAATTCACAGATTGTTCTCCTGTAATTTCTTTTGTGTGGACTTGGCTTGCGGATTTGATAATGGTAGCAAGAACAGGTTAAGAAA